CTTTTTCAGTCAATAAGGTGGCTCAATCCATGAAAACACCGTGTGAAGAGCATTTGTTAGTTGTTAAACGTATTCTACACTATTTGGCTGGTACTTTAGATTATGAGTTAGTTTTCTCGGTTGAGGATACTAGACTGAGTGTTAAAGCATTTTCTGATGCTGGTTGGACTAGTGATGCTAGAGATAGACAATCTATCTCTGGTTATGGTGTATTCCTTGTTAATTTTCTTGTTACATGGGCCTCAAAGAAACAGAAAACAATGTTTCATTCAACAATGGATGCATAATATCGTAGTGATGCAGAAGCTGTTGAAGAAGTAACGTGGATTGATGCTTTATTACGTGATCTTGGTTTATAGTCAATGCATGACCCTATCATTTGGCGTGATAATACAAGTGCAGTTGCTATGTATGGTAATCCAGTATATCAAGAAAAATCAAAGCATGTTGACCTTGATATTCATTTTGTTAGGGAGAAGGTTGCAACAAGTCAGGCTCGAGTGAGTTATGTACCTATTGGATTTCATCTTGCTGATGGTTTCACTAAGCCCTTGGCAAAGGTAGCATTTCAAGTTTTTCGAGAAAGAATTCATGTTCAACCATGCTGAAACAAATGAAGAACAAGAAAGCATAGAGAATCTTAGTTAATACGTTGAGTGTGTGATGTTAGCAACGTTTCTCATGCATTGTGTGTGAGTAGGGTTTTGTGTGAGTAGCAGAGAGTTTTCTGTTACAAACGGTTGTTGATTGTTTTTATGAAGGCTGTTGCAGGTTGTTATGGTTGTTATCTAGGTGATATAAAGAGGCGGTATTCATCTCTGTAAATCAAGCTTAATGAAATACATTTCTAAAGTTTAACATTGCGAAAAAAAGTCATTCCTTCAAGTGTAATTAAGCATGGAAAGAAATTCAAAACAATCTGCAATCTTAATATGGAGCCAACGAAAACTTAAAGCAACTAATTGAGTATTAGTATCCTGATACAAGACAATCAAAATGTATGGACAAACAAATATCTTATATGTGCAACAAACATTAAACCTACAAATCATTGCAAGAAGGGCCTACGAAGTGTAAATTCCATAGATCTTTGTTCAACTAACATCATAAATATTATGGTTTCCTAAAATCAAGAAATTCAAAACTCAACCGAAAGATGATTTTACATTAAAAAATAATGTTTAAAAAATCTTAACTTATACTAACATGGTGATACAGGGAAATCGAAACTGCAGGGATCATTCCAATAGGCATCTTATTTCAGCACTTCAATAAATATTAAGGTTTCCAAAAATCAAGAAATTCAAAACTCAACCAAAAGATGAATCTACATTCACGAATATTGTGTATACGAATCTACATTCAAAACAAGTTTGATTTGGCAATATATAAGGAATAAACTGGTTTGTAAGTATTTGAAAAGAAAATTTAAGATTTCAGCTCCTCTGGTTTGTAAGTAGGGAGGATAGGAGAGAGAAGAATAATGGAGAAAAAGATAAACTTTTTGTTCTTTTAATTTTTTTCCTTAAATGTTGGGCAAAAGCTTCGGAAATTCAAATGTGTGCGGGAAATAGTGCCATAACACTGGTTTTTTTGCTCAACAATCAGAAGATTTTATTAAAATTCATAGGATATCCCCATCTTGAGCCTCATTAAAAACCCCCTAATCGTAAATGGGGGAAAAGATTGCTCAAGATTGAGAAAAACACCAAAGCTCAAAGAGTGAATTACACGAAATGTAGATGAGGCACAACTTAAGCCTAAATTACCCCACCTAACCAAAGCAAAAACAGTCTCCACAAAAAAAAACCCCAAACCGACATTAGAAAAAATCTTAAGAAACCTCCATTTCGATCAAGATTACATTCAAACTAGGTACAAAATAAAATTGCTAGCATAACTCCCTTTCTATATATCACCAACTTGCCTTGAACAAAACTTTTCTCTTCGAGCCCATCTTTGCCAGGTAATCTGCCATATTATTAGTAATCCTAGGCAAGAATGCAAACTTTATCTCAGATATCTTCATTGCATTAACATCAATTCCCTGAAAAATTACCCCCCACCTCCATGGTCGAGCTAAGGCATTTTGTATCCAGTTCAGTACTACCTTAGAATCAGATTCGACAATCAAACCAGTCTTCCCACACCAACATGATTCAACAAACACATCTAATGCAATTTTGATAGCCACAAGCTTTGCAAAATCTAGATTGATCTCTGTTACCGGCCCAAAAAACATTGCGACTACATAACCTTCTGCAGTCCTCAAGACTCCCCCACTCCCTGCTAACTTGTTCGTTGCTGAGCCATCCACATTAAACTTCATCTGACCCGACACTGGCGGCTTCCAGACAGACTTGAGACGTTGTTGTACACATAAACCGGCTGACTCCCCTGGCCAATCCCACCAACGTTTCTCATCTAACACTAAACACCTTCAATAAAGCATAAGCTCTCATCTTCACATATACAAGCAGATCTTTGAGTTTCGTGCTTTTACTCTTAAAATCTAAATCATTCCTAGCCAACCATAGACTCCATAACGCTGCTGCAAAGCTTACAACCAAGCCAATGCTATAGATTCTGTCCACCTAAATTGAAAACAAAACTCAAAAATTTCATCCACTGTCTGCAAATTAAAGCCTGGAATATGCTACCACCTGCAGAAAGCATTCCAAAAACAAGCCATAAAATACAGACACAAATAGATGATTCACATCCTCTTCAACATCTCCACACCATGGGCACAATCGTTGAGCATCAGACAACTTAATCCCTCTGTTAAAGAGGAATACCTTAGTTGGAACTCTGTTCAGTTTAAGCATCCATAAAAAATATTTCACCTTCGGAGGAACTTTTAGGCTCCATATTTATCAAAGTTAAACGAACATACATCTTCAAAATACTCGTCTAAGGAGCAAATCTATCAATTTCTTAACCTTAAATAAGCCATCAGTCTCATGCCCCATACAATCCGATCAACCACAAATGAATTAAAACTCACATCATCCACTTCACATTTTATAATTCGAACAGTAGTTAATTCTCTGTCAAGCAATTGTCGCTCAAACAAAGCTGCTGAATCTAAATCTAAGTTTTGCCATTCACCTGCAGAAATCATATCACACACCGTAATATATTTCCTTAACGCTAACCTGTAAATACGAGGATATCTTGATCTTAAAGCGCTTTCCCCAAGCCACACATCCTCCCAAAATAAAACTGATTTCCCATCACCCACTACTCACCTGAATGATTCCCCACTCATCCATTTAGCTGTACTTTCACTAGACAAATTATTCACGATCCCTCTCCATGTTATCGAAGCTTTCTTGGTATCTTCAAGATTAACAAACCAAGGCAGATAACCTGAGCCATAATTGTGACTAATTACTGACCTCCATAATGCCCCTCTTTCAGTTGCAAATCTCCAACCCCACTTAGCAAGCAGCGCCATATTCTTTGCCTTTAGATTGATTATTCCAGCCCCACCTTTCTTTTTCGGATAGCACAATCTACCCAAACTCACCCTTGGCAATCTATTTCTGTTTCCATCATAACCCCACAAAAAACCTCTTCTAATCTTATCAATTTTTGATACAACCGCTATTGGAATTAGAAAAATCGACATATAATACAACGACAATAATGACAACACTGAATTAATAAGAACCACTCGCCCAGCAAAAGATAGCGTCCTTCTTTTCCATCCCAACAATTTAGCTTTAAACTTTTCAATAACAGGTTCCCAAGTTGAAATTCTTATGGGATATGCACCTAATGGAATTCCCAAATATTTAAACGGCAATGCACACACAGAACAACCACCCAAACGAGCTAGCTGTTTTAATTTATCTTCTTCAATCTTCACCCCTGCTAAGCACGACTTCCTAAAATTAATGCTTAAACCCGAACCCAATTCAAAGCATCTCAAGATTCTTTTAACATTGACCAAATTCTTTGATCTGGACGAATGAATAATATCGTATCATCTGCGAATTGCAAATGAGAAATACTTATGTTTGGTGCCACATTCTCAATACCATCAATGTATCCTTTGCGAATAACTCCTTCTAGCAAGAGATGAAGAGCCTCAGTCATCATTATAAATAAAAAGAGGGACAATGAATCTCCCTGCCTTAAACCTCTGTGTATTTTAAATTCTTTTGTAGGAGACCCGTTTAGAAGAACAGAAACTCTAACTATCGAAATACATTCCCAAATCCAACGTCTCCATGTGCTTCCAAAACCCATATTATGCTAAACAGAGTCTAAAAACTCCCAATAAACACAATCATACGCCTTTGCAAAATCTAGTTTTAATATCAAACCACCTATCCCTCCCATCTCTATATTCAATGAGTGAATGACTTCATTTGCCACTAAAATTCCATCGAAAATCTGCCTACCTGCTATAAATGCACATTGAGTCTCACTAATCACTTTTCCAATCACAGCTCTTAATCTCCTTGCTAACACTTTAGCAATTATTTTGTACAAACTGCTCACCAACGAGATCGGTCTATATTCCGAAAATTCAGTCGGATTAGCCACCTTTGGAATCAATGCTAAAAAAGATGAATTGACATTCTTACCCAATTTTCCATTCCTATAGAAGTTATCCATGGTCTTCATCAAATCTGCTTTTACCCACTCCCATGCTTTCTTAAAACATATTGTATTGAAACATCCAGACCCGGAGCTTTGTCCTCCCCACAACTCCACACAACATCCTTTACTTTTTCAATGGAAAAATTCACTTCCAGCCCTTCTACATCCGCCCTTGATAATTGTTTGAACGGCAGATTGATCTCCGTCTTCCACTCCATTTCCTTGCGTCGAAAGTGGTTACTAAAGAAATTAAAAACCTTAGCTCTAAGTTTGTCAGGCTCAACTTCATCGACCTCTCCCAAATTAGCTCCCAATATCAAACACTTTTTACTCCGAATCTTAATTACTCTATGGAAAAATGCGGTGTTTTTATCTCCCAGTTTCAGCTAGTTCGATCTTGATTTCTGGCGCCATATATCCTCATTTTCCTTCAATATATCCCATAGCCTCCTTGTACAACTCAGTTGTTCCTCTCTTTCTCGGACATCTAACCCATCAGCATCACTCTTTATATCTAACTCATTAATCCTCTTCTCCATTCTTTTTGCTTCAATATCAACATTCCAATAGTTCTGTAAATTCCATTTCTGAAGTGCTCCTTTCACCCTTCTTAATTTCACGCTTAAATCTACAACATCTTCTTTTTCATGCTACAATGTCTTCTTAATAATCTCAATACAACTCTCCTGATTTAACCAACAATTAATCAGTTTAAACAGTCTAGGCCCCCAATCCACCACTTCCTTCCCTAATAATATAGGGATATGATCCGAAACTGTTCTCGGTAAACCAAAAAGAGTTACATCACTATTTTCATTAAACCATTCACCCTCAACAAAAATTCTATCTAAACGACTCTTTCTATTTCCTGGTCTAAACCACATAAATTTTCTCCCCGATAAAGGCATGTCAAATAGATTACAAGCCTCTATGAACGAATTGAACTCTAAAATCTCCGTTTGTCTGTAAGAACACCCGCTTCTCTCGCTGTTACTTCTTATTGCATTGAAATCACCTGCCATGAACCATCTATTCTTATTTTTCCTCCTAACTTCCACAATTGCATTCCATACTATGACTTGTTCAGATACTTCACAAGGAGCATAAACGTTCAACAACAACAACAACAACAAAACCCAATTCCCATATGTATGGGGTAAGGGGGAGGTAGGGTAGTAGGCTACCCCCAACGCCAGGTTGAGAGTAACTTCCGTGGAAGACCTCCGGCAGTCAGAAAATTAAAAATTTAGATAAAATGCAATGCATGTATAAATAAATACATAAATACATAGCTAAACAGTATTCATATGCAGTCATTAAAATCATATGTGCGTCTGTAACGGGAATTAATCCCTGCATAATAATCCCTGCGAAAGAATCTCTGCATATAGACATAAACATAAGATAAGATCCGGCTAAATTTAAAAGAGGAAACATGAAGAGAATGATACACAGAAGTCAACGTTAGCAAGCCCAGTTCTAATCCTTCATAAATACCAATAACAGAAACGTATAAAAAGTATAAGTCATGGAAAATACTACAAAGACATTAAAAGAAGACAGAGATGATACACCCTATAGATGTGACCCACACTACTCGACTACCCTAGTCTTTAGCCTCCATATTTTCCTATCAGAGGTCATGTCTTCGGTAAGGGCTAAATCCCTCAAATCAGATCTCAAGCAGTCTTCCCACTTTCGCCTTGGTCGTCCTTTCCTTCTGGCACTGTCGACTGTAATCGACTCTACCCTCCTTACCGCATCCGACGGTAGTCGCCTAAGGACATGCCCAAACCACCGTAGTCTTCCCTCCCTCAATTTTTCGGAAACAGACACCACCCCCAAGGACATCCTAATAGCAGAGTTTGTCGTCATATCCCTCAGAGTCTTACCACATGTCCATCGAAGCATTCTCATTTCTGCGGCCTCAATCCTCCTTACGTGATCCTTCTTGGTTGCCCAACATTCTGATCCATACAACAGCGCTGGTCTTATTGCCATTCTATAAAATTTTCCCTTAAGTTTTAGAGGGACCTTCTTGTCACACAGAACTCCAGTAGCGGCCCTCTACTTTAGCCATCCCGCCTTTATACGGTGTGTTACGTCATCATCTACACCCCCATCTTTATGTATCATAGACCCTAGGTACTTGAAACAATCCTTTGAGGGGAGAACGTGTCCTTCTATGCATACTTCTACATCTTCATCGTTTTGGTTCCCATTGAAGTTTGAACATAAATACTCTGTCTTTTCAATATTGATCCTTAAACCTTTTTCTTCCAAAGCAGTCTTCCAGGTAGCCAGTCTACTATTCAACTCAGATTTTGTTTCAGCAACTAAGACAATGTCAAATCATGAGGAGTATACTTCCCTTCTATTAAAATAAATCTATCTGTAATTAAGCTATCCAGGATCTGAAATCTACTTTTATCCCAAACAGACAGAATACCCCCAGATTTTCCCATTTCTTTCGAGAATCTAAATTCAAAGTCATCATTACACCAAAAACTACTAATTTCAGTATCCTTTAAATCTTCCTTCTTAGTCTCTTGTAACAATACCATCTCAATTCTATAAATCCGAATAAGCTTCATAAGCTCAGAGATTTTCACATTAGAATCCAAACCTCTTATATTCCAAGACAGAATCCGCATCTTGGAACCTCCCCCTCTGCTGCTTTCTAGAAATCAATGGACATGGATTGGGACTCTGCTTCAAGATCGTCCCCAGATGAAATTTCCTTAACCAACGCCTCCTCTGAGCCTTTAAACTGAATACCTAGCTCTCTACCAATTTGTAAAGTTTTCCTCGCTTCCAACTTTTGCCTCTGCCAACGTTCTTGGAGATCCGAATCAGACAAGGACCTTCCTTCAAGTTCAATCAACTCTTCCTCACTTAGCTCCTTCCTATGGATTTTATTTATACGACAATTTCTAATCTTTCTCTGGGTAACACCATATTTTTCTTGAATTTTTTTGATAGAACTGTATTTCTTAATTTTTTCTTCCTTTGCTCTAACGTTCTGCTTAGGTTTGGGAATAAAAATATCATCGCTTGTTTGCAAGCAGAGCCCCTTTTCCCATTCTTCCCCTTCCCGTCCCAAATTGGACTTATTTACCTTTGGGTCTGCCAAACACCCCTCCAATTGTTCCTTATTGGATCCTTTCTTTGAAATGAAATTTGTAAGGCCCATATACTCCGTATCCTCCACCGCCTTTGCACCTAAACTCCCTTCCCATATAGACAAATCCTTTAAATTCTCATTTATACCTTCATTATCATCCACCGCCTTAAATAGTAACCTACAATCATCTTCTGCCACTTCCACCTCATTTCCCACCTCCACCTCGTATTGTATTTGTGATTTCCCATAACAAACATCATTGACCCTCTGACCCACAATTGCTTCCTCCCCTATGTTTCTCTCTACGTCTTCCATCCCTGACAAATAGCCGCCTCTTGAAATGTTCCCCATGCACATTAAATGACTATCATCTTCCTCATGCCACCTCTTCGACTTCTCCTCCTCCGACGGCTCCATACTCCTAACTACCGACGAGCTCGAATCATCGGTGACTAAATTGACTTTTTCTTCTTTCTTATGACTGCACGTATCACTTCTACTAGTAGTCTGTTCCATAATTCTTATTTTAAAAACATCCCTTCCTACCTCCAAATCAACCACCTTATCAATCAAATCATTTCTTTTAGGTTCTATCAAGATAGTCATCTCCTCACATCCCGATTCCTGAAGAGCATTTTCTCCCATCGCCAAACATTCCCCCCATAGCTCAGATATCCTTTTGAACGTGTTATGGTTCCAACAGTGTAATGGCACACCTATTAATTTAATCCAGGTTACCCTTTCAGACGCTCTGTATGATTCTGTCCAAGGATTAACTTCCAGAAAAATTTCCCTTAAGAACGACCAATTATGCTCTTTCATGAACGTATAAAGCTCTTCGTCCACGAATTCTAAAAGGAAATCTCTTCCTCCCAAAAACTTAGTCCTGACCTCTCCCAATCCCTCTACACGTAATCTGTCAACCACCTGAGTCGAAGAACATACCGTTGCCATAGTACCTACGAGGCATTTCTGCAGCTTTCGAACGACCTCATCATCAATAACTCCCTATATAGACCTGCTCCTCCTTCTTATCTGTGTCTCAGAAACTTCTTCTGCAATACTTTTATCGTTAGGTACCCTTATGGCTGTATTGGAATTTGAAGGACTATTCAAGTCCCCGCTTGGATTCTTTGCTCTATACCTTGCTTTCTTCACTGAAAGTCGATATCCGAACAACCAAAACCATTAAGTCTTTGCATTGCTCTCTCTGTATCTTCTTTTTTTGAGAATCTAACAAAACCAAATTGCTTCCCCAATCTATCATTCTTCCTAGCTATGTAAGAACTGACAACATCTCCATGCCTACCGAATAATTGTCTCAGTCCACTCCAATGATATCTAAGAGGAATATTCTGAAAAAATAGAGTTTGGACCTCGCCTACCTTTCCTGAAGCTTTTTCCATCATTTGTCTTTTTGCTTTACCTAATACTATATACACCAGTTGTTTTCTTTGTTTTTTTGTATGAGGTTTTCTCTTTGAATGTATAAAACATCCATGTATCATGTTATGTATGCCACAACACTGGTTTAACGTGCCACATCAACATTTTGATACCTACAATAATGGCTACTAACATTTGTTAACGTTAAGTGACCAGTTTGTAACCAATCGATAACGTTAGTGACTGATTTATAACTTTTGAAACATAAGTGGGGAAAATGAAACCTACTTCAAATATTAGTAACCATCTGTATAGTTTACCCTTTATATAATGTGCAATATATGTAGAATTATTTCATAATTCAAACATACTTCACTATTCTTAAAAAAACATTTTCTCATTGACATATTATCATAAAAAGAATTTTATGAAATATTATAAATTAATATCTTGTCTATATGTAGTTGGACAAATTAATGATCAACTGATGAAAAATTACAAGTCTCGTCTTACTGACTACAAAGCGACTATGACATCTTGTAACATAAAAAAAAATCACATTAGCAAATATGATTGTGAAAATAGACATGGCTATAGTCATGGTCATGATTGAGGATGTGGATGAAATAATCATTTTAATACTCTCCCCGTTCCACTAAATGTGTCCATTATTAAATTCTAAAAAGTCAAAAAATTTAAACTTTGAACATGATTATTTTAAAATATTTTATGTAATTAAATTTTACAAAATAAATATTTGAAAACTATTGGATTTAGCGTTCTAAAATATTTTTTTATATTTTCATCAATAATAAATTTGAAATAATACCAAGTCAAAAAAAATTTAAAAAATTTGAATAAAAAAAGTCAACAATGACAATGAATATATTTAATGGGGAGAGGGAGTAGTATTTAAAATCATTATAATAAAGATTATAAAAATGACAAAAGTGACAAAAATCTAATTAAGAAAATAAAATCTTTTTATTATCAATGTCAAGGTACATATTGTTGGGTTCGTACTTAACGTATGCTAAAGCAACTTGTGAACTTTATTTCTTCTTGTTTTACCTTCTCAACGAAACAAAATATTTTGATATCAACCGATGATTGATCCCATACGATTTTGGTCTAAAGGGACCGGTCCATCACAAAAAGGGGTGGTCATTCCTTTTTGCAAAGAGATCAATCCATTTTATGGAGAATGAAAGTGACCGATCCATTATTAAATGGGATAAATAATTTTTTCTGGAATTTTTTACTTTTACTCCATGGACCAAATTAGATGACACTTGACTCGAATTTAATGAAACGTAAGACATATGATTGATAGGAAATAAATTTCCATAACTTGAAGGATACTAAAAGTGCATGAATGTCAACTTGAAACATCAATTTATGCAAATTTTAATTATTGATCAATTTAGTCCATAATTTACACAAATAATGTCCAAATCAAGTTACACAAACATACAATGGCTCTAAAGATCCTAAACATGCATATTTTCACTTTTTTCTACATTTAAACATTATATTCTCAAAATCAACAAATATGATCAATATAAGCCATGAAGAATAAGATTTTTCAATAACAATCAAATATTGCAAATTTAAGGCCAAAATTATTAACATAATCATATTAAGCCATAAAAATGCAACTCATGCAATAACAACTCCCCTAACTAATTGTATGTAAGGATTATGTGGGGACACTCAATCATGCATATAAACATATAAAATCACATAATTAACATGAAATTGCATGAAATTAAAAACTTGTTACAACTTGAATTAAGGTTGATTTATTAAATTCTCAATTTCTTCGAGCGTCTTTTCTTAGTGTGTCTAGAGCTTCCAAATTGATTGTCATTGCTCATCATTCCAACACATCTACAAGAGACATTTAATTATTTTTTGGTACCTAAATTGCTTTGAGTCCTTGAGTGTTAGTTTCAATGCCTTTAGTTCCCTTTGGATCTTATACTTGTCTTATTTTATAAAATTTTATTTTCTTTATAGGACAAGTATGTGATGTATGACCATGATAATGTAAATGTTAACATTTTTCCATTATTGAATTTGATGAATACTTAGAAATCATTTATTTCTTCTCTTAAAATTTCAAACTTGTTTTTCAAATAAACTACTATTCGTGTAAACTACTAATTATATCTAATAATGTCCATATTAGTCAGTTTATTTTATATTCTACAAACCGGTTTATAACTAACATATTAGAGAAAACACAACCCACATATTATATACATGCCAACTAGAAAAGTGAAAAAAATCAGAAGATGTCATGCTAAAACTGGGGAGCATATTTGATCCTAAAAAAGTGATGCCAACCACCCTCCTTACTCCCTTCACTTTTCTTTTTCTTTACCTACGCATGAAACAATCACACGCAAAGTATACACTTAGTGATGCATTATAACTAAATAATAAAGCATATCGGTATAGAAAGTAACATATAAACTTTCTTACAAAAAAAAGTCTTATAATAATATAAGAACATATACACAGACTGAGTAAATTCTTTCTTTCATCAGAATCTTGTAAAATGACAGTTTCCATATAAACACATAATCTCATATCAGATTATTCAATGAATCAGTCAACATGTACTTTTCGATACATTCAATGAATCAGTCAACATGTACTTTTCGATACATTTAAAACATAGTCCAATGTATAAAAAAGTGATTGCAGGGTACGTGAGTCAGACGAGGGTGCGCAATATGTAGTCGTAACTACTAGAAATAAATTGCACTCTTAGTGCCAAACAGAAATATAAGTATTTTAGAACACAACATCACTATACTAATTCATAAATTAGATATGATAAATCACAACGTCAAAACATAATGAATCTCATAATGCACATATAGTGCCAGACATATGTGCACGAATGTACCAGATATAGAATTATTCCACCTCATAGCATGTCAATTGTACCAATAACTCTCAATGCATGTACAATGTGCTTTATATTCAATATCTTATCTTAATCAAATTTCAAATATAACAATAGAAACAATCGTTTCATAATATTATAAAGCAAAGCATTTGGGCAGTTCATACCTAAAATCATCGATAAACCATTTTAGAAAATCATTATGAAAATTTTTCATAATATGATTT